AGAATGCCGTTCATGGCAAGTAGTTATTCATCTTCTCCTAGGTGCCCTTGGTATTTTACAATCATGAAGACAAAGCCCACGTCCAGAGGAACTCATGGTCTATGAACCTGGTCCTGAGAGGTGCTTGATGCTCAACTGAACTCAAAGGTCCCGGAAGCTAAGTACTCTCAGCAGTTTTTAAACAGTATGTTTCAGTATGTTGCTCAGTTGGGCCCTAAACTCAGAGGTGGCTTCTATGACTTGAGCACTTCTCCCCTGCCAAACAGTCAATCCAATTTATTTCCACTTGGAATTTAGAATAATGGAACAAGTCTTAGGTTGCCTGAGGTAAAAGCTTTATAAACTTAATTACCGTAGTTCTCCAGTGAGGAATGTCTCCTCCTCTATGAGTAACTCAGTAAATTACTTAAACCAGCACTTGCTTTCCCCCCTAAACTGAAATGTTTCCCCTTGTTTCTAGTGTCTCCATTACAGTTAAAGTTAATATGCAAGCCCCAGTTATTTGATATGTGGATTATATCCTGAGTTCAAAAATACAGAGACAAGCATTTTCTTTATTGATCACCCTGAATATTTAAGTGCTTTAGTTGATAAAGCACTTTTCCTGAATCAGAAATGTATGAATTCCAGCTACACGTTCTTTCCTGACATCAATGCTTTTCACTATAGTCTGATATATATTTGAAGTGTAACAATCCTTAGTTTCCAGGAGATAACTCTCTTGGTTGTCCACAAGGTGGCAGACGCCTCCTTTTTTGAAAAAAAATAATACAAACACTCACTCTGAACTGTTCACAGAAAAAATAATTTTGAAATGGTTAAAAACATATTGAATTAATTTGCACCGTAAATGTGTTTTAAACCTGCCACCTCTTTAATAAACTTGAATGTAAAGATTAGTCTCATATAAATTTTAATTTTTCCAAGTAGAAAAAAAAACAACCCATCCAATTTGCCTAGAATCAAACAAAAGGCCTATATTGTTACCGCACTTTGGCACGTTGTTTGTTGGGGCACATGATGTGCCAAAGGGGACCTGTAAGGGGCTAAACCACTTATTTTGACTCTGAGACTTTCTGAAAACACAGTTTCTAATTCTCTCAGTATTATCTCAATTTTGCATCTAACAGACTTCCATTAAGTTGACTGAGAGGATGAGGAGACTTTTTCAGAGGACACCACAGAACCAAAAAGTCTGTCTCTCTTGTGTTGGCACTAAGAATGCCCTAGAACTAGGGGGGTTTTCATTGTGGTGTTGGCCATTCTTGTAGTATATGCCACACAACAATGATCTACCAGCTTCATAACTCAGAGATGGATGCACTGGACTAGTTGTGTCCCTACATTATATTATTTGTAAAGCATCTGTGGAATAAATTGTACAACTATAGAAATGTAAAATAAATATTAAGCGAGATTTAGGCATTATTAATAGAGGTGCACACATACATCGGTCTGATATTGGTTTGGTACCAATATGAAGAAAATTGTCTATATTGGATATTGGCCCTATGGGGCCAATAATTTGGCCAATAAATGCCCATGCTGTGCACAGCCGCAACACATCATAGAGCAGAGCTGGAAGTGTGGAGAGCTAGCAAGGGGATGGGGGAGAGAAGAGGCGTGGGGGGGGCAGATCAACGGCCCCAGCTGTGAGGGAGGGGGCAGGTGCCAATGATGCCAAGCTGGGGGGGAGAAGGGGGGCACGGGATGGAGCCATGGCTTGTGGGGTGGGGGCAACTACCGCCACTGCTTGCACCCCAGGAGGGTGAGAGGGGGGTGTGTTCCCACGGATCTGTACAGCATGCGGCGGGCTACATCTGCAGGGTGGAGTTAGAGCTGGCACTGCACGGGGCTTTTCATGCCAGAGGCTGGGCTCTGAGCAGGCTCTAGCAATGCTGGGAGGAGGCTGCAGCCACCCCAAATTTTGCCACAACTCCACTCCCAGCCCCATGCCACCCAACGCAGCCCCATCTGAATGCTCCTCCTCCACCCAAGCACTGGGAAAAGTTGGGGCTGCTCTAGGAAGTGGCTTGAGACTGGGAGCGGAGCTGCAACAAAATTTGGGGTGGCTGCAGCCTCCTCCCAGCACTGCCAGAGCCCACTCTGAGCCCAGCCTCTGCAGCTGTCACCCACAACATACAGATCTGGGGGCATACACTCCCCACCCCCCACGCCCTCCTGGTGCATCCTCTTCCACCACATTGGACTTACTACCTGGAGGCAGTTGTATCCGATATCGGAACAATATTGGCTGATATGCCTCCTTAAATATTGGCTATCAGTATCGGCCCCCAAAATCTCTATCAGCACCCCTAATTATTACATTATAATGGCTGAAGAAACCAGGTAATGAACTTTGACTACAGTAAGTCCAACAGAAAAAGAAATATACAGTAAGTAAACTTGTTTTTCTTCATATTACCATCTTAGTCTATTTATGACTACTGCATATTCGCTACTCAAATAATAATTTATACAGGGCCACCAGTGTATACAATGCTTCACTGATAGATTACCTGAAGGAGCATTGTAGGTTAGACCAATATGCATCAGTAATGGCTTAGTTATAGTTGACCCTGCCTTGAGGCACAGGGAATGAACTAGTTGTCCTCTTGAGGTCTCCACCATCCCTATTTTCTATAGTATTTTATCTATGCTTACAGTCTTACAGTTTCTCAAAGTGCCTAACATAAATTTCCTTTGCTGCAACTGAAGCCAATTACTTCTCTGTATCCACTGAGGATAGGAAACAATAACTTGTCATTTTTCTTATTGTAGCAAACTTTTACATATATAAATATCTCCCCAGTCTTCCCTTCTCTAGATTACATAAATTCTAAACAAATGTTATTATCTACAACTATAATGAAACTCCATCGTTAGCCAGGTTTGAACAATGAACTTCCAAGACTACTGCACACTCTTCTCTTGAGCTATAGAGCTAACAGAGTGCACATTCTGTAGGAAAGAGATCAGAAATCTGAATATGTGAACACACAAACCATTTACAGTGATGTAAATACAGACAACCACCCAGAGGCACTATTACAGCACTTGACCACTAGGTGGCAGGGGAACAAGTAATGGCTTATTTGCTTTAAGTAAATGACTATTCTGGGATACCGCAGGGCAGGGGGCACCTCAAGCTGCTCGCAGACATTAATATGATAGTGCGATTGGGATCTGAGGAATTTTATGCCTGATCCTAAAAATCATACCTCTTGCTATGCCAGACACAGATGACAGGACATGCAATTATCTAGATATCAGGGATAAAATGTCATATCCCAACATGCAACTGCCATGTGTGATCAGGGGCTCCCTGCCACCCAGCTGTCTTAGTCATGGCATCAGCTGCTGTACATGGTTTAAAATGTCCCTGAGTGCAGGTAGCCAACAGGCTCCCCTGGTACAGGGACATAGGGAGGTCCCCTGCCCTGAAGTATAGGGCTTCCCTACACTGGGGAAACTTTGAACCCCCATACTCCAACCAATTGCATTGGGATGAGGCATGAGCAGCCCTGTATCTGGGATACATGACACACATTCAATTTCAGACATGATACAAATCAGGTACTAAGATATTTCACAAGAGCAGTAGAATAAATTTGTGGCTGGTTTGCCATTTTATCACACTATAAATTAGCTAAACACAAACAATGTTACCTTTTATGGAACAATTAACTCATTCATGACAACATAAATGTTACATCTACTTAGAGAGTAACTTGTTCAGGAAGTCATAAAGCTTTCATAGGTGACAGTTAGCAACTGTTAAAGTAGGCTGTCGCATATGAAAGCTTATGCCCCTCTGAATGAGCTGCCTTCTGCCTGATTTCAGACACACATAGCTAACCGACCTCTCTCTATCCTGGGATGAAACTGAGTAAGGCTTCAGACACAGGACTTGTATACCTGTGTAAGTTACACCTGCATATATTTATTCTTGACTTTGAGGTGTAACTTTACTACAGACTGGAGTGATTTTCACTAGTGTCAGGCTGTACCTCATGTACTCACTCCATATTTATGAAGGCATAAAGGCAGATTAAGCAGTGAAAATGGCTAATGTGTCTATACTCTAAGCAGACAGACTTATAAGCAAGGAAAGATGTTGTAAAGATCAGTCTGTGGCAACAATACTGACAAAGGCTTCCCTATAGACAAGCATTTAACACTAACTGTTGCATAGCAGCAGTTGCAGAATCAGACTTGTCTGAATATTTGTTTGACATCACATTTTCCTTAATGAAGGATGCATTAAAAAAATAAGCTTCTTGGCTGATGTGGGTAGACCAGTATAAAATGTTTCCCTTCACTGCAACAGCTATCCATCCTGTTAAACTGTACTTGTCATTTACCCGCAGACATCATGATTACCACCTCTTATTTTTTGAACACTTGCTTTTTATACTATCAGTCTGCTAATTTGAAATACACAACTACACAACAACATAAGATTAATAACCATGAAGACAGAAAAAGTTTAAATGCCCTGAAAAGAGTAGTCAATAAAGTAAATGATGATATATGTAAAGATGTGTGCAGAAGCATGCAAACTTTTTCAGAAACAAACAAAACTACGCTCCAGTAACAGAGGCTCCAGTTAAATACTCATAAAGGAAAGAAGTTCAGACTTAGAGCTGACATTCACTCCTTAGTTTATCTCAATATAAATATCCTGCCTAAAACAGTAACAAGATATTCAAGGTACAAAACAAATTGTGCTACAAAAAGCACCAATTATTATGGTAGAGTCTATGGAGGCACCACTTTAAGGACAGATTTCTCTGACAACTTGGATGAGGATTAAAACCCACAACAGCCACTGAAATTGTAACTCATACGGTTAAAAGTCCTGTACGTTATGCCAAAATACTACCATTTATAATTACATCATCTTGAGAGAGCTATTTAATTCCAAAACTCAGCAGACTTTATAACTGTTTACAATTAGAATGTTAATTCCCGTCTCACTTGTATAGTTTCTTACAGACCTTGGCTTCTGGATCACTGTTGATGCTGCAGGAATCATCTTCATCAGACTGTGGAACATTTCTGTTATGAAAATATAAAATTGGGTTTGGTTTACAGTCAAGTATAACCTATGGCACAGCACAAGCATTTTCAAGCTGCCAATCTATGGAGATTTTTAAAATCATCATACCTGAGCTTTAAAGATGCATAACGTAATGTTGCTCCTTCAAATTCTTTTAGACTGGGGTCTGGATTCACAGTGGCTGCATGCAGATCCTAGAGATAAACATGCCATTATTAATACAATATTAGGCATGTAACTCCACCAAATAATTTCTAATTTCAAAGGGAAATAAAATCCTCCCTGCAAAGAAGCGGATAGTGTTTCTAGGTAAAGTTGAAAAAAGGCATGCATATATTTTTCAAATTATATTTCATTCAGTGCAGGCATCTTATTCTTACATCATGACATTTGCCCTACTGATTTAGACTGAACCCATTCCAACTGGAAAGATCAGAAATAGGCAGCATGTTTGTGAGCCAGACATCCCTAGCCATACCCCCATTTACTTTGGCCTATGTTATGAATGACATTCGTGGAAAAAATACAGCCACTGCCATGCAAAAACAAGGGTAACAGTATTAAATATTCTAGAATCTGACAATATACTTGCCTTCCAAATGTCACTATTAATCTTTCCCCCATTCAGTACAGCAAAATCACTCCATGGCTGTTTCTAGACATATAATTATTCACACAGGAAGAAGCACATTGATAAAAAAAAAAAAAACAAAGAAAAAAAAAAAAAA